GCCTACCTTATGCGTACGTGGATTGATTTCTGTTGCTGTTATTATGGAGACGCTTGTAGGGATAACCGATATTCGTTATTTATTTTCTTGTTCATTTTTCCACAAATAGTTAGCAGTCAGATAAATATCCGCACTTCTTATAGATTGACTTTTTCTTTCTTCGTTAGTTCAGTAACTAGTCATTTCACTGCAGCCTTGTCCGCCAACGTTTGGGGTAAGACCTTAAATAGCTCATGTTATATTCATGTTATTAATAATATTTTCCGGTATAATATTCTTCATTTAATCTTGTAAAACATGTTATGCAATTAGCCTTATCAGAAATTGTTTATTCAACTGGTGCAAACTTTACATTACTCACAAATACATTGTTCACAACATCCGCCTGGTTAATTACTCGAAGGATTCCCTATTCGCACTCCCTTAGCATATAGCGGTACCGATATACTCTGCTATAGCTTCTCTTTACTCTTATTTTAAATGAAATTCATAGGCTGTGATACTTTCTCATCAGACATTCTTCTAGTTGTGGGAAATGAACTATAATTGATGAATAAAATGTGGAGTGGAATTTCTGACGAATTATAAAAGTTTTTATAATTCGTCATTTTTCGTAGTGTTTTTAGGTGCGTTAGTGAACCTCAAGTCTAATGTAGGACTTCTAATTGTTAAGTACAGTAAATTTGGTTCAATATAAACTAAAGTTTAGCATCTGCAAAGTTCATCAATATCAACTAAAGTTAGCATCTAATAAAGTTTAGCATCTGCAGAAAACTCAAACCTGTTTGGTTTTACATCGGTCTATAGTTTGTAGCAGTTGTGGGTAGAGTTTCTTGAAATTATTATTAATTTCGTTGATATAATCTTGATTGATCTGGCATAAAACTAGTGCTCTAAGAATATTTGCCATTCAGTCCATGCCGCTAAAAAAATTTAAGAATCTGAATATGCAAGAATATTATGTTTTTAATGCAAATTTTGCATGAGTATTATCGTGAATAAGATTACTGTGACGGCATAAACTAGACGGGTTAGTCGAATAAATGTGAAGAAAATAAACGCTAAATGTAATGAAAATATATGCTAAATGTGAAGAAAATAATTTTTATTACCATAGGTGAGTAAAATACAATAGATTTCTCCAAAAATGTCAAAGTATTTTTCATATTTAACGGATTATTACCTTGACGTCAGGGCAACACCCATTCCATTTGTTACTAGTCAGCGCACAATAGCAGTAAAGCGTCTTATTAGTTGTGTATTCCGGGCACAGCAGTAGCAGGACGTGTTATCTCCTTATAGAAATATTTGATACATCAGCACACACATTACGCGTCGCTTTACCATCCGTCAAGTATTTCGGCACGACAGAAAAATGTTATTACGAAAGCTTCGTATGTTGCGAGACACCAAACGCATTCGCTTGTGTTGATATGAAACATTGAAATTCTTGCTTAATAATAAGAAGGATAAAAGAGATTGAATATGATTTTTCGATCTTTTACTGCGAAATCTCGTTTTTTATGACTGCGCAACTGCTGTCAAGTCTGAGGGGACAGGTTGTCGCGAGTAAAATATCTTCAATCTTTACACGAGAAGATAACTTTAATTACCATGAATTGTCATTCATGGCAATTATGAATTATTCAATAATTTTTCGAATGTTCAAATTACATTGTATTACTCAGTTGCAAAAAACCCTGATCTGCCTATATTTTGCAACCTTACTGCGGCGGAAAAATAATACTATAATAAAAAACATACATACATAATACATACATACATAATATACATACATAATATCAAATTCAATGTTCTTACAAGGAACAGTTCTCAACGGGGCAGGGGAATTAGGTTTAGTAAAAAGGACGAGACAAGTGGAATGAAGCGAAGGCTAGAGTCCAATTAATCGAGGCAGCCAACTGCAATGTCCGCCCAATTACTTGTGGATTTAATGGGAACAAAAGACTCTCATGAGACGAAGACCGTATTGAAGCAGCTATAAGAAGTCAAAAAGTATCTACTTTGGCGATTATGGTACATTTTAATGGATAAGATAACGAAAGCATACATTAAAGAACAAAAGTTGTCTGTGTAACTTATTGGTGCGAGAAAAATTATCACCAGGATGAAGCATATTTTATTTCAAATTTGTTTTTGGCAACCAATGCCGATTAATCAAATATGACATCGCCACGTTAACATGATCGGTCTCTGTTCCAGGCTCCACTCAGTGTACCGTTGATGAGAATTCAATAAACACAGTACATTGTACTTTCTTCAGTATTTGAGAAAATAGGTTTCGTAGATGCATTGGCTATAATTCGAGTTTCTTTCGTTCATTGATGAATGTTTAAACATTTAGTGCTCAACAACATCTAAAATAAAATTGAGGAATATATTGCACTTCATAAAACTTGAAAGTCATATCATGATAACTTCAATACCCAATAAATATCAGTTGAACTCTTAAATCTGGACTAATTAATGTTGTATTGTTAATTGAAATGTCAACCACGAATATATCTATTGTAATCTCTGAAAAATCGAGCCAGGTATTATTGTAAGTGCAAGTACCTTGAAACTCATTTATAAAGATGCTATGTTATATTGATAAATTTCATTAGAATATCGACAAGTTTGACACACAAGTCTTTGCCTTCGAAGTTTTATATAAATCAAGATTTGGAAATTTATTAAAACTGGCGAAATAAATAAAGATTTGGAACACTTGCAACATCTCGAAGTAATCGAGGTTGGAAGAAATCAATACTGATTAGACAATAATCGTTCCTAAATTATCAAGATTTAAGTAATCACTCGTCAATCTTAGCAAATCAAAAATCGTATATTAAGTCTTTAAAATGATTAAAATATGTTTATAATGCGAACATTTCTCTTTCGAGTACTAAATAGTCGCTGTACGTACCCGATCCTACTATACCCGATCCCAAAAATTGAGTATATTACGGCCAAACGTCCAGTAAGAAACTGCACGCTGGTTATCAATACTAAGCGCCACTCCCTAATTGGCATTCTATTGTTTTATGGCTGCAATACGAAACAGCCCGTGAAACTTTCATAAAATCCAAACTTTTAATGTTTGACTGAATCCACGGCGGGAGCCTAATAATTATATTTATGTTTTTTCGATGCAGAGTAAATTATTTTTCAGTGGGGATGGAGGCAGGTTCAGTGTTCATCAAACCACGGTTGCAGTAATATACTTTATTGCCAGAGACATCATATTACATTAAGAGTTTTCTTCAAACATGAAAACTGCAGTACTTGTATACGTTCATGGCTTGAAAAATGGCAAGCGATTAGCTGTACGTCTAGGGGACAAGCTTCACGAATAACAAGATGATGCTTTCAAGACCACGTTCCTTCTGCTACATTTTCCTATCCACAATCTCTGACCACAGTTTCAATACTACCGAAAACATTCCTACAATTCCAACACTTATTAATTCTAAATTGACAACACATTGATTTAGTAAAAACCAAGTACATAACAATAAAATAACGTTGAATCCAAGACCTTTAATATTTGAAAAAATAATTATTTTATCAATATCTGGCTTTTGTATAATTACTGGTAGAATGAGCGTTACGATTTGTTGATTTGTTTGTCGCAAGAATTTTAATTATTTGCATCCCAGAGGATGCATTCTATTACACCTTTCATGCTTGTTTTGTAGTGTAGAAATAGAATACTAGAAGAAAATATAATTTAGTCAGCTGTTGTAAACACTCATGAGGTGAGCTATTGATGGCCCTCTACTGATAATTCATAGTGATAATTTTCTGATAATTATTCTGCACTCATGTACGATGTTCATTTTTCTTCGTTGTGACCATCCATGCAATTTATTTGGATATTTGAGATTGCAACTAGAAAACTGGCATGGATGTGTATTATAGCTGTTTCGATTTTACAGCATTTTTTTGTGTATCCTAATCAAATCTATTAATCTGTTAGCTGCTTAGATAATTTATCGTCATCATACATATGGAAACAAAAAAGTCCTTTGAGTGTTCTAGATGCATGTTTAATGGAATGGTTATAGTGACTGAGCGAGTAAAGACCGGATAAATTATTGTTGTTCTCTAATACTAATAATTACACAACATAATTAATACCTGACCAATAGTGCACGTACTTGTTTAGCAGCTTGATCGGTCTTAGTACAAATAGAAACACGGAAAACGAATCATAATAATTTTTCACAGGGCCAGGGAATTATTTATGAAGGTTTATAATTGATAGCAATAACTTTCGTTGGCAACAATCTTGAAGTTATATTTTTTGGCCTAATATTTCATATATAAACGTTTGTATTCATTACTCTAATTGTTTCTATTTTTCGAAAATTCCAGATGCACTGTTCATATAAATTTAACCCAAGCGTATTTTTTCAAATTAAAATTCATCGATTGGAATTTGAATTTATCGATTGAAACTGTTGTTTATATATTCATTACAGTTGCAGAAGTTTGCCTATACTCGTTCTTATAGTTGCAGTTAAGCTGTCACGTCCAAACTCAATTTTTCATATGAATTTTTCCTTAAAAAGCTTTATAAAGATACTATAGTGTTTTTATAGTGATTTTGATTATATAATGCCACATACTAACTGGGTCGGCTTACAACATTCAAAGTCACAGAATTACAAGCGAATTTTATTCTAGTTTACAAACCAAAAAGGAGATTTGGCTTGCGAGAAACGTTTGTTCACATATTTCTTATCTTCGAATGCGGATACGAAGGTATGCGGATATCACGTATATACGAATGCGGAATACACATATTTCTTATCTTAATAACGAATGATGATGATCGCATATTATTGCTGGGTCGAGATATTTTATTGCCACTTGTATTATTACTCTGCGTCATGTCAGCAGACAGGAAACGATGTACGATTGCTGGGGATTGCACTTGAATTGCGGCCGGGAGAGAACGACTGGAGGATGCGGATACTCACGTACAACGACAACTAAGGGACGAAATTTGAAGGGGAAAGCCGAGGGATTTTCCCCCTACGCTGCTCTAGGTCGCTGTAAAAGGCAAGCATTTGCTGTAATCGCGATTTAGCGGGTTGACCTTTTTGGGGGTACCTCATGGGTAGACTTTGCGATCCCAGCCTTGTCAGTGATGAGGGTGGATGCTGCTCGCGCGAGTAGTCCAGCCTGCTGAGGGAATAAGCTCTACGTATTCGCCCGGCCGGGTAACGCTCAACGTAACAGCCGAGGCTTAAATTTCGCTCAAACTCTTCTTGTATTTCTTTATTTCTGTAGTGCCGGGCAGCAACTGTGGGTGAACCATTAGGTTGAATTCGGTTTGTCGTTTCTTGCTCCGTCAGGACCGATGTTCCTGTAGTTAGAAGCACCTGCGTTCTGAGCTCAGAGACCCCCAAGTCTGTAGCTACCTGCTCCATTTGTTCCTCTTCTCTCTGTTGCGTGAGTTATAAACATGGCTTAATTATTTAACTAACTGAAAGTAAAATGATCCAGTATACAAAAAATGACCATACCACATCCATCGGCTGAATTTTATTTTTTCCAATGAATGACTTGAATTAAAAGTTGACCTTCTTATAGTCATTCATGTGTTCTAGACTTGTTTGATTGACGAAGAATTCGAAAGCAAAGAAAACGCACAAGAACGTTCAACACATCTTCAATGGAAACGTTTTCACTTAAGATATGTTGAACATTTTTGGCGTTTTGTTTGATTTTAAATTTTTGTTTATTTAATTTTTGTGAGAAACGAATTTTTAAAAACGCTGACAATTCACGCTGAGTTAAACAATGTGCTGACCCTCGCTCACCTGCTCTCCCAGCGCCGTGGCTCGTTCTCGCGCCTCCGGGAGTAGCGAGCTGGATGGTGAGGCGGCTTCGCTTGAGGAGCCGTTGGAAATATTTCTTAGTTTCCTGGCCCTAGCGTAGACAAAAGACACCAGCACGACCATTGCAATGCCCATCATCACCGCCACCGACAAGCCAATGATAAGAGCCAAGTTGTCGTTTGATACAGTTGTGTCCGGCGCAAGTTCCTCCTTCTTCTCGCTTACAACCGTTTCTGCCTCGGCAACAGTCTGTGTGAAACAGGAGCCGATAGAAAAATGTTTTTTTTTACCAAAAAGAGGAAGGTTATACCATCCATTAGCTCAACGTCTTAATGTTACATGATAACTGAGTCCCACAAGATATTCATTCATTCATATGATAATCATTTTTCAAACACTATCAATAGAAGTGTGAACTATCCAAATGGACCGTGCTCGTATAGTGGAATAAATCAACGCAAAAACTCGGGTAGAAGGCCATTGAACGAAGTTAAAATCTACGTTATAAATCTTTATTACGGAAGCTAAAGGAACACTAATCCACGATCTTCAACTAATAAACAGGGACAGTTAAAATAACCTACGCCAGGCACACATAGACGCATTAAAAATATTCTACGCTTGGTAAACAGCTAAGAAACACAGACGGCTAAGAATGTCCTCCGTAAAGCAAACACAGACGGCTCGAAATGTTATTCGCTAGGTAACACAGACGGCTCGAAATATTATTTGCTAGGTAATTCAGGCGCCACTTCCGATATTCCATGGGACACAAAGCGGGCGGCCACTCCCGATTCTGGAAGCTAAAAAAGTGAGGCAGAGCAGACTCGGCACACTCCCCTATAGTAACCAGAGTAACCCTGATCGACAAGAGACTGACGAGCTGCGCAGCTACAGTATGTTTTTGGTTCGGAACTCATTCCCCGACTACAATGTTTTTAGGTTAATTATCGCCAAATCCCAATGACAGAATTTTTCATTTGGACCATTTGTAGTCAGTTCCTACACTGTAAAATTTCTAACTTATAATTTCATTACAATCATGACTCAGTCGTTCAATTTTTAAATGTTAACCCGGATTATTGACTTGAATCCTCTTAAAACGTATCTTCTTATCCTTTTAAGGTAGAATGCTTTTAATACATCAAATCGAAAGCTGCTTTGAGGCTTTTCACGTCTCAGGCAGGCGTACCAGTAAATTATAGTGACGGCCAAACCACAACCCCTCCTCCCTTAGGGTACTTATACATGGTGTTAGTATTAGCAGCGAGTATTCGCTGCAAGTTTTCTCACTCCAAATATTGTGATGATTTATTCTTCAGATGCAGTAGCTGATGCAATTGCGTCTAAAGCAGTTCTTGTCTTGAAAGTGCCTTAAATTATCGGCAGTACGATGTGAAAATGTGATACTTGTGGAGTGAAAATACTGTTTACTTAATGCTTAACGCGTGTCAAAAGCTTTCAGCCAGCAAATCTGGGAGTGTGACAACTTGCATCGCCTATTCGCAGCTAATACTAGCCCCTTGTATAAGAGCCTTTATTCCTAGATTGGCTTGGTGATGTTTAGGATGTGTATCTGGCTATTTGGTGGCTGCTATGATTTATTTTTTATCGCACTTCGATCTTAAGTTTTCAATATAAACTTCCTAAATGGTAGCCATTTGCAGTTTTAACATCCAAGAATAAGTATCTTGCTTCAGGTGTTCCGTTTAAGACAATATTGACATTTAATTATGTCACTAACACTTCATTCACCTGAACACCAGCTGGTTTACAGAAAGAACGAATCTGCTTTCGAGAGTTAGTCGTATGGTTAAACTTGCACTATTAGTTACAGGATGCTTACGACACATCGATACGCTTCATAATAAGAATTATTTGAATGAGAACAAGAAAGTAACAACTCCAGATAAGGCTATTCAATTAAACAAGTCCTGGAGTAATTAAAGAGCTATTTCGAGGTATAAAAATAGCTCAGTGAAATAGCTTGCAATCATTCACAGAGACGCACACATAAGCTAGCTACGCCTATGGATCAATTTAGGCTTAATAGGCTCAAAATGATGGACGAATGTTTACACATCAAATTATTTGTTTCGTAATTCTTTGTTAACATGTAATAGACTAAGATATTACATGTTAGATCTTTACTAACATGTAATAGACATTCATTTGAAAGTTCTCCCTAAAAAATGAACACTGAAGTGAGATTAAAGTTCAAAATCACATTTCGGGATAAAAAATCCGTTTTCGTGGCCGCCAGCGAAATTCGGAAAATGGTTTAATTTGAATTTATTTTAAAAAGTAGCCATAAGGCACGTAAGCTCAAGAAAAATCTTGTCGGAGAGCGAATTTCAGAAAAGTGGTTTGTCACTATAGCCTCTAATAAAGCTTCGGTAAAACATCCCAGGACTACAGATTGTCTTATTGTTGTCAACTGCTAGATGTTAATTGTGCATTTTAGTCTTGCTCAGCATTCAAATGGTTTTAGCTTTTTCGGCATCATTTAAATAATCAAGTATACAATACACATAGTTAAATTTCGAGAAAAAAATACTTGATGCCAAAATGGCATTTCCGAAAGAAATCATTCTTTGTACCAACCTTAGTGGCGTTGGTAAGAATTGAAGAATCATTGGCGACAGCTTCCTTGAAAAGTTCATTAGGACAAGACGAAATTTCACCGACGTCGGCCGTTGCTTGGTCCATATTGTCAACTTGTTGCAAATAGATGATATCCGCGCTGATCTCACCAGTCGTCTTCTCCACGACAGCCATGGCATCGTTCAGTTGACGAACTTGGTCGTTGTCAGGGCACCCTGAACGTCTTCTTCGCCCAGACTTTCTATACGACCATAGAAGCTGCTGAGTTAGATCATCGAGAAATCCAGCAATTTCATCTAAATCCGCTTGGATAGCATCTAGAATTGCAAGATTACCTGTCACGGAATCAGTAGTTGTATTCATAACAGTGGTTGAAGAAAGTGTTGAGCTGACGACGATTGTAGGTGAAATGTCTTCAGTGGTCGACGAAGTTTCAACATCAGTTGTCGAAGCTTCATCGGTGGTAAGTGTAGTTTCTTCTGAAGTTGGGTAAGTTTTCTCAGAGGTAGATGAAGTTTCCGTGTTCACTGTTGACGTTTCTTCAGGAGATTTTGAAGTTTCTGCAGTAGAGAATGACGTCTGTTCAGTAGTGGATGTAGTTTTTGTGGCTGTTAATGTACTTTCTTCGGTGCTCAATAAAATTTCTTCCGTGGAGGATGATGTTTCCCCAGAGTAGGTTGAAGTGTCAGTGGTAGATTGAATTTCTTCAGTGGTGGATAATATTATAGTTTCTCCATCAGTGGATGAAGTTGTAGTTGTTTCTACAGTGGTGTATAAAGTTCCCTCAGTGGAGGATGAAAATACTTCCGTGTTGTGTGAAGTCGCCGCAGTAGAGGATGAACTTTCCGAAGAGGTGGTTGAAGTTCCTTCCGTGACATAAATAGTTTCAGCAGTACTTGATGGAGATTCTTCCGTTGTTAATGTAGTTTGTTCGGCGGTTGATGTAATTGTTTCAGTCGGATAAGACGTTTTTTCACTTGTGGATGGAACGATTTCAGTGGTGGGCGGAGTTTGAACATTAGTAGTTGAAGCTTCATCGGTGGTAGGTGTAGTTTCTTCTGAAGTTGGGTAAGTTTTCGCAGACGTAGATGAAGTTTCCGTGTTCGTAGATGGCGTTTCTTCAGGCGATGTTGAAGTTTCTGCAGTTGAGAATGACGTCTGTTCGGTAGTGGATGTTGTTTCTGTGGCTGTTAATGTACTTTCTTCGGTGCTCAATGAAATTTCTTCGGTGGAGATTGATGATTCACCAGAGTAGGCTGAAGTTTCCCCAGTGGTAGATTGTATTTCTTCGGTGGTGGATAATATTGTAGTTTCTCCATCAGTGGATGAAGTTGTAGTGGTTTCTAAAGTGGTGTATAAAGTTCCCCCAGTGGTGGATGAAAATTCTTCAGTGCTGTGTGAAGTGGCCTGAGTAGAGGATGAACTTTCCTCAGAGGTGGTTGAAGTTCCTTCCGTGACGGATGAAGTTTCGACAGTACTTGATTGAGTTTTTTCAGTTGTTAATGTAGTTTGCTCAGCGGTTGATGTAATTGTTTCAGACGAATAAGAAGTTACTTCACTTGTGGATGGAACGATTTCAGTGGTGGGAGAAGTTTGAACATTAGTTATTGACGCTTCATCGGTGGTAGGTGTAGTTTCTCCTGAAGTAGGGTAAGTTGTTTTCTCAGAGGTAGAAGAAGTTTCCGTGTTCGTAGATGACGTTTCTTCAGTAGATGTTGAAGTTTCTGCGGTTGAGAATGACGCCTGTTCGGTAGTGGATGTAGTTTGACTAGTTTCTGTGGCTGGTAATGTACTTTCTTCGGTGTTCAATGAAATTTCTTCGGTGGAGGATGATGTTTCCCCAGAGTAGGTTGAAGTTTCCCCAGTGGTAGATTGTATTTCTTCGGTGGTGGAAGATATTGCAGTTTCTCCATCAGTGGATGAAGTTGTAGTTGTTTCTCCAGTGGTGTATAAAGTTCCCTCAGTGGTGGATGAAAAAACTTCAGTGTTGTGTGAAGTGGCCTCAGTAGAGGATGAACTTTCCGCAGAGGTGGTTGAAGTTCCTTCCGTGACATAAGTAGTTTCAGCAGAACTTGATGGAGTTTCTTTCGTTGTTAATGTAGTTTGTTCGGCGGTTGATGTAATTGTTTCAGTCGGATAAGACGTTTTTTCACTTGTGGATGGAACAATCTCAGTGGTGGTCGAAGTTTGAACATTAGTAGTTGAAGCTTCATCGGTGGTAGGTGTAGTTTCTTCTGAAGTTGGGTAAGTTTTCGCAGACGTAGATGAAGTTACAGTGTTCGTAGATGACGTTTCTTCAGGAGATGTTGAAGTTTCTGCGGTTGAGAATGACGTCTGTTCGGTAGTGGATGTAGTTTCTGTGGCTGTTGATGTACTTTCTTCGGTGCTCAATGAAATTTCTTCGGTAGAGGATGATGTTTCCCCAGAGTAGGTTGAAGTTTCCCCAGTGGTAGATTGCATTTCTTCGGTGGTGGATAATATTGTAGTTTCTCCATCAGTGGATGAAGTTGTAGTGGTTTCTAAAGTGGTGTATAAAGTTCCCCCAGTGGTGGATGAAAATTCTTCAGTGCTGTGTGAAGTGGCCTGAGTAGAGGATGAACTTTCCTCAGAGGTGGTTGAAGTTCCTTCCGTGACGGATGAAGTTTCGACAGTACTTGATTGAGTTTCTTCAGTTGTTAATGTAGTTTGCTCAGCGGTTGATGTAATTGTTTCAGACGAATAAGAAGTTACTTCACTTGTGGATGGAACGATTTCAGTGGTGGGCGAAGTTTGAACATTAGTTGTTGAAGCTTCATCGGTGGTAGGTGTAGTTTTTTCTGAAGTAGGGTAAGTTTTCTCAGAGGTAGATAAAGTTTCCGTGTTCGTAGATGACGTTTCTTCAGGAGATGTTGAAGTTTCTGTGGTTGAAAACGACGCCTGTTCGGTAGTGGATAAAATTTGACTAGTTTCTGTGGCTGTTAATGTACTTTCTTCGGTGCTCAATGAAATTTTTTCGGTGGAGGATGATGTTTCCCCAGAGTAGGTTGAAGTTTCCCCAGTGGTAGATTGTATTTCTTCGGTGGTGGATAATATTGTAGTTTCTCCATCAGTGGATGAAGTTGTAGTTGTTTCTCCAGTGGTGTATAAAGTTCCCTCAGTGGTGGATGAAAATACTTCAGTGTTGTGTGAAGTGGCCTCAGTAGAGGATGAACTTTCCGCAGAGGTGGTTGAAGTTCCATTCCGTGACATAAGTAGTTTCAGCAGAACTTGATGGAGTTTCTTTCGCTGTTAATGTAGTTTGTTCGGCGGTTGATGTAATTGTTTCAGTCGGATAAGACGTTTTTTCACTTGTGGATGGAACGATCCAGTGGTGGGCGAAGTTTGAACATTAGTAGTTGAAGCTTCATCGGTGGTAGGTGTAGTTTCTTTTGAAGTTGGGTAAGTTTTCTCAGATGTAGATGAAGTTTCCGTGTTCGTAGATGACGTTTCTTCAGGAGATGTTGAAGTTTCTGCGATTGAGAATGACGTCTGTTCGGTAGTGGATGTAGTTTCAGTGGCTGTTAATGTATTTTCTTCGGTGCTCAATGAAATTTCTTTGGTGGAGGATGATGTTTCCCCAAAGTAGGTTGAAGTTTCCCCAGTGGTAGATTGTATTTCTTCGGTGGTGGATATTATTGCAGTTTCTCCATCAGCTGATGAAGTTGTGGTTGTTTCTCTAGTGGTGTATAAAGTTCCCTCAGTGGTGGATGTAAATTCTTCAGTGCTCTGTGAAGTGGCCTGAGTTGAGGATGAACTTTCCTCTGAGGTGGTTGAAGTTCCTTCCGTGACGGATGAAGTTTCGACAGTACTTGATTGAATTTTTTCAGTTGCTAATGTAGTTTGTTCAGCGGTTGATGTAATTGTTTCAGTCGGTTGTGTAGTTTCTTCATTTGTGGATGGAAAGATTTCGGTAGTGGGCGAAGCTTCAATATCAGTTGTTGAAGCATCATCGGTGGTAGGTGTAGTTTCTTTAGCTGTTGGGTAAGATTTCTCTGAGGTAGATGAAATTTCTCTATTGGTGGACGCCTCTTCTTCAGAGTAGGTCGAAGTTCCAGCAGATGAAAAAGAAGTTTCTTCATTAATTACTGAAGTTTCTGTGGATGTTGAGGACGTTTCTTTTGTGGCAATGGAAGACATTTCTTCAGTGGAGGTTGAAGTTTCTGTAGTTGAGAAAGATATTTCTTCTGATTTTAATGATGTTTCTGCAGCAGTTGAAGACGTTTCTTCTGTGTTCGATGAATTTTTTTTCAGATGTCTTTCGAGTTTCTTTAGTAGTAGATGACGTTTCATGACTGGCGGATATAGTAGCTTCCGCAAAGAGTGAATTATCCGTCCTTTCGGGTACAGGTTGCAAAATGATGGATGCAATTTCTTCAAAGGAGGATGAAGTTTCTTCTGTAATTAAATTAGTGTCTGCCCCTACGGACATATTTTGTGCTGCACGGTTCTGGAGAGAAGTTTCTTCTGTAGTCGATGAAGTTTTCTCCTCAGTGGATGAAATATAGGAAGACGTTTCTGTTGAGGAGGATAGAACTTCAATAGTATATGCTAAAGTTTTTTCAGTGGTCGAGGGTGTATCGTCCGCAATGGAAATTGTATCTACAAAGAAAGAATTATTTCCTTCTTCCGTTGTAAGATGTCTGCCATTGTTGTACTTCGTGTCAAGGTATTTTGCATTGTGTTTGTTGTAAAATTCGTTGGAATGTTTCATCGTCCTCATTGCTCCTAATGCTGCCTCAGGAATCGGTGACGCCCGCGCTGAGTTTGTCTTTTCTGGGGAAGCAAACCATTGATTGTACATCAGCAAATTTTGATTTCTTTGTGCCTCATGTAATGATAACTTACACACAGTATCTGGTTTCAATCCGTTTATGGCCGGTTTTTTTACAGGGCGGGGCAGAACCGTTTGAGCATTTTTCAGGCGAAATAAGAGAGTAATGGAGCTACATAACGAAGAAAGTTTATTTTCCTCGAGGTTAGCATAACACTCCATTTAGAATACTTGTGTTTTGAAAACAATATCAGGAAGATGGTGGCCGTTAGCTGCAACACACTGTTGGAGTCGTTCTCGGAAGTTTTCTACAGCACGTTCATACATATTGCGAGGTATGGCCATGACCTCTGGAATAATCCGTTCCCTTAGCTGTTGTAGGGTGTGAGGGCGACTTCTGAACACCCATTATTTTAGATGTCCCCCAAAGAAAGAAATCGCAAATGCTCAAATCAGGTGACCTCGCCGGCCACTGTAAATCACCCCTCGATCAAAGACACCAGACGTCCAGGAAACATGGGTCTCAAAACATTAAATGACATTCGGGCTGTGTGAGCTGCAGCCCAATCCTGCTGGAATTACACGTCTCCCAATGCTCCATTTTCAACAATGTTTTCCATCCTGGGCTGCAAGAAATTTTGCAACATTGCAGCATAGCGTTCGGAATTCACTGTCACGGTTACTTCCTCCGCCGAGAACAACTCCAACAGTGTGTTGCAGCTAACGGCTACCATCTTCTTGATATTATTTTCAAAGTATTCTAAATGGTATGTTACGCTAACCTCGAGGAGAATAGACTTTCGTCTTTATGTACCTCCATTACTCATTTATTTCGCTTTAAAACTGCTCAATCGGTTCTGCCCCACCCTGTATATTGAAGTTATTATTAGCTAAATATTTTGGAGAGTATTATTGTCACTCGTTTGCTTGAATAGCAAATTAACAATTAATTTAGAAGCAAAGAAAATTCCAAAAAAGTTCATTATATCTCAGTTGAAAAAGTTTCGAAGTTCAACTCCATTGCCAGTTCGAAGATTTTGAAATAAAGATAAAATCACAAGTTAGTACAATTGAAATTCATGGAACCGAAATTAAAACATAAATTTACAATTACAATTATAAGGCAATAACTAAGAAAAAACTGTCTATTCACAATCTCAAGAAAAAAGGAGCTAAAAGCTAAATTAAAACTTGGCTTCTATTTAAAAATGTATAAGAATTTTAAAATACGCAGATCTGAAGTACCGGAAGTGGAAGCTAACACCTAAAAGTCATTGTCAGATATTGGGACATCACACTGCTCGGCGTAAATGCTCACATCTGAACGAGGGGTGCGCGATAATAACTGCCCAATCTTACAACTCCTGCGTCACTAGAAAATTAAAGAAGATTGCGTAACGTCACACCGACGTACGCGGATACACATTGTGCATAACAATATTGATAATCTAGGGTACATCGCATTTAAACAGGGAGCATGTCTTTGTATATAAAGAAAGAACTGATTTTGATATTGTTCACCAACATAACACGAAGATTGACTTTTGGAAAGTATTCCATGAGCAAGATTTTGAATCTCTTGACATAGCTTCGGACGCAAGGCTAAAGTATGCAAGGGAATGATAAACAACGTTCCTACTATTGCGCTTGAGAAAACCTCAATGTATCGCTTCTACACGAATTCCTTGATTTGGGTAAACACCAGACTGGTCGGAAATCCGTTATCGAGAAGACATCGCACAAAAATTCAAATTCAGCGTGGCTGTCATGGAAATTTTTTAATTAAACATGAAGAAATCATGAATTGGTATGCAGAACATATACGAAAGCCTCAGTGTAATAATGTTTTAAGCCCATTCAACCTGAATCGGAATGAACAAAAGCATAAGAAGCTGGTACTAAGACCGATGAATGTCGGTTTTCGGAACATGGAAGTCTGAAAACGGCCAATAGATTTAGTAACTTTGTGTAATGAATTTTAGTTTTAGGAATTTGGTATCAGATGTTCTGGCAGCATCAACCAAAGTATTGGAAGAACCTGTATTACGGTTCGTTCATTCGTTGATCCTTACTAAAGCCAGCAGCTTGCCTTCTTGCTCTTAGTAAGCGACTAGGTTATCTAATTTGTAATAGAATAACTGTGAGAATATGTTTAGAATATTGTTGTACCATCTAGTTATTAGTGTTTAATTAATTTAATGAAATGTGTATTTATTTGTAGGAGAACTTCCCTCCCCTGCTTGCTGTTCTACTTGATAAACTTGAAACCTGGATAAATCCTAATAACCCAAACACCCATTGGAAGTTACCGTCAATGAATCAATAAATCAGTCCGTTTGATCTTGAACCAATAGAAACATCACACTTTGCAAACGATGAAGGGCAAACTATTCAAGGTCCATGTAAAATTTTATGGAATTAGGTTGCGAGGTTTGGTAATTAAAGTATGGTTTGATGCGAGAGGGATATTTGAAAATTAAAAAGCTATCATTGATGTATTTGTTATATATGCAAGCTCCATGGTATATTTAATGTAATCGTGTGGCGAGTTTAGTATGGTTTGAATCAAAGAATGGTTTGGCATGAGAGGGATGTTTGACAATGAAAAAAGTGTCATCGACGTATCTGTTATAGATACGTCGATCGGCTTAAAATCTATAGGACCATTGGCCTGCCAAGAAATGTGAGTAGTATTGAGACCGAGCTTACGGTAACAATTTACATAAACAGTTTAGGGGGGGTATACCCTTCAGAAAAACTTCCACATTTACCAACGGATCTTTCTGAAACATCACACATATATGTAAAACTAAAAAACTAAGACATTTTGTTCGTATAATTTTTTCGGAAGAATTGATAGAAAACGTGAAATTCATAGGAAACGGACAAAAAAGGGGTACTGTAGAAATCTATCGCCTCCTAGGGTTTTCAAGCTACAACATTGAGACACATATAATTCGATGCGTAAAGACCATACCAATCGAATAACGAAGCCTGATTTTTTACTTTTCCCTTAGTTTTTTTTATACGCATTTTCCCGTTTTTTCTAAATTTCTTCTAATTTTCTTCCAATTTCCCCCTCTCTCCATCATTTTGTATCCAAACCATGTACAAAACTAAAAAAGGGCTACGTTACTCGATATGTATGGTCTTTACGAATCGAATAGTATATGTCTCATTGCTGTAGCTTCAAAACTCTAGGAGGAGATAGGTTTTCCGTGACTATAAGTGTGAATGTCGAGGAGAGCTCGAAAAAGTCCCGAGCGCACTGCAATAGGCGCTCAATGTAGCATAGATACCAAACTAAACGTTTCTGGAGCTTGATTCCACTCAAGGATGGTGGGAGCGACTACTTGTACACATCTCCGTACAAAGCCCGGGGGCACACCGAGCCTCACCTCATAGAAACACTGTATTTGCAGTGCTGGGGCAGTGAATTAGCTCCTATGTTATTATTGGAAGAACTCCCACCCCGTCCCCCTTTCATGAAGTGTCATGAAAGTACAGGGTGTTTCAGAATTAAGTAACCCTTTTGATTTGTTAATAAATAAAAAACTAAGAACGTTATGAAGTTGAAACTTGTTTTATTTAAAAGAAGAACATTTTCATGGTAATATTGTATCATAGTTACGTCATTATCCTGTATAGCTTGCATTATTAACAAATTAAAAGGGTTACTTAATTCTGAAACACCCTGTATAAATCAACGTACAGAGATAGCAGTTTTACCGTTGGATAGGGCAGAATGTAAGCTTTAAGATGAGACTAAAAACCGAAAATGCCAAATCCAAAAATTTTAGGGTATACCCCCCCCCCTTAACAGGTTACCGATTATTTTCCCACAATCTTATTTCGAATCTTGACCATCCGAATAAAACCTGATCATTTACCGACAATCTTATTTAGATTGACCTGACCATTTACTCCAAATCTTGACCATCAAATTCATGAGTTAACGACCATTTACCCCGATTTACAGAGCAGTCTTTAACCATGAACTCAGGGCTTGAGCGGGTGTTTTGATGGAAGATACTTTTTTGGGATGTATAATTGATTTAATTAAAATTTTCAACTATCACTATGAATATTCTTCATAGTCATAGTGATGATGTAATGGTAACTCGAATAGAATTAATAAACTTGAATTCGTTCTAATGGTTTGTCTTGGTAATATGTGATAGTTTTTGAACTATCATTTAACTACAGTTATTATAACATTTAACTACAGTTATTATGTCTTCCACGGGCGGAAAAACTATCAGCAGGACTGTGATTCTTTTCCGTAGCAATATCATCGAAAATGAACAAATTCTTCTTCCCTGGATCTATATCACGGGGATCAGGTCCAGAAGCAGTATTTTCAAAATATTCGATAGCAAATTTTGTTGACGTCATCTAGGTAGGTTTTCAAGATATTCATCAATATTGCCACTGCCGTCAGAAAATGGATCAATTAATTAAGATTTATTATATCCCTTAACGAAGGCGCTCTTCAGCAACTTATATTCAAGCTGATGAGTAGACTTGCTATGCAGGAAAAGATTGTTGAAATCAATAAAGTTATTCAATAGCAACTTCAGTAGCAATGACGTTTTTCCACAGTTCGATCTTCCAATTATGAGTCATCTCAAACTTGGTGAAGGAAATACAAAATGGTTCTTCTGTTTATTTTTATTATCGTCTTTCTACTTATAGAGCATTTTTTTAGTTTCATTTCTAAAATACTTTTCAATGTTAGTTCTAA